CTTCTCCCACCAGAAAAGTCACTTTTGTGCCACTTTTTTTTCGCGCATGCATGCATGCGGGGGGAGACGTTTTTCTTCTGTTGTTCTCCGCTTGCTTTTGCCGCGATTCGAAACTATCTTACAGGTTGTCGCTAGGGGATGGGAGCTAGGGTGTGCGTGTGCGCGGAGACGGTCTCGCACTTATTTGGACCTACTTATCGCGTTCTTTTGGTTGTTAAATACACAACCAAGGTGAGAGAGTCGCAGTGGAGCCGAAAGTTTTTTCGGGTTTTATTTGTTTGGGGTATGGGGGTGGGTGGGTGGGTAGGGGAGCGGGGGCCATGTTATTCAACGGAAAGGGTGCATTGGAATTGGATAGGGATTTATTTGTGCCACTGCTTCTTTGGGCAGAGAGAGAAGCTTGCAGCGGGGTGTAAATTGTTTTATCATCTCCGCTAGCCAAAACCATCATCAGCTTAGATGTGCTGTGGTTCAGGGACGGCGGCACTCGGTCGCTTTGCTCTCTTGGTACGCCTCCTCCCCTTGTCTTGCCCTCTCTCTCCCCTTCTTCATCGTCGCACTAAAATAGGGTACCAGGGTACACGACCGTTTCGTTGTGGATGACAGGTCGGTCGGTGTGTGACGCAATTAGTTGGAGTGGGCGGCGCGTAGATTTGTCGTACAGCCGTCGTTTGACCTCTGCACGCAGATGGACGACGACAGGGAAACGCGCGTTGATAACAACCTCGTGCAGTGTCACTCATCTACGATACAGCTATGCTAGATTGTTTAATCTAGGTGGTACTGGTTTCGGCTTTGCATAGAATCGGGCGATTATGCACACATACGTTTAGGAGTAACTACTGAAAGCGACGCCGTCATGTCTGTTTCGTGTTGTCTGGAGAGCAAAAGGGGTGGTTTGGACTACTCGAGAAAGCGCACAAGGCTTGCCATGACTTTTTTCGATTTTCCGTACTCCCCAGATAGACACGAGCAGGAACACTAGACTAAAAGCGACGCAAAGGTTGGCGTGAGAGCGTGATGCTGCAGATGAGATAATTTAATGCTTTTTTCGATTGTTACACATGCATACGGTGTTGCTACTCCGGTAACCGCACCACATGGGTGCATGCCTCCTTAAATGAATTGAGTCGTTGCGTGTTTTGTTTGTTCTACTGGCGGGAGAGCGTGGCGCACGCGCAGCCGCCGCGTGCCACCTTTTCCTCAGATAGATGCACCACCACTCCAGTAGTACAGCGGTACCAACCTGGATACCTCTCGCTGGATGGTGAGGATACACCCGCCCGCGCGACTTGGCACAAGCAACAGAGCAACAGAGCAAGAGAGGTGTAGTAGCCGAGAGTGAAGGTGCTGTGCGTCCGGCGGCCTCTCACGTTCGTCATGTTTTTGTCGCATTTTGTGAATTGGAATATTGTTGTTTTTGCTGAACATACGGGAAACGAATGAACGGGCTACGTAGTGTGACCCAGGGGGGGGG